AAACAAAGGGGGGAAGGTACTAGGGAAGGTCTAGGATGTTCTTCTAGAGGTGTTGCCGGTTACATATTTACGACAAGTTTGATGGATACCACCCCGGACCCCCACATAGGTATATCAGACCGCAGAAAGACAAGGCTCAACTCTCACAGCATAGGACCAAGGTGTTCTGTTGAAGGTGTTTAAAACAACGTATTTTTTTTCTCGCATCCGGAGCAGCGGCGACGAGGTGAGACGGGAAGCCGGTCCGGGAACTATGTACACTGGAGCAAGCGCGCGTCCTGCGTGAGGTCAGCCAGGACGGCGGGGGCGGGCGGCGCGCCGCCCCCCTGCTCCGGAAGTTCCAGCAGCGTGGTGGCCAGGCTGCCCTGCGCCGCCAGGGAGAGGAGGCTCCCCCAGCGATGGTGCAGGGCGGCGCGAAGGCCGGGACGCTGCCACGGTGGGGCCGCTTGCGCACGACCGGCCGCGAGGACCCGGAGGAAGTGCTCACAGTCGTCACCCCGCCGGCCGCCGGTCTCAAGGGCGAGGACGGCGAGCCGGGCGCGGGGAGCCTGAGCAAATTCGGGGTAAGTCTCGCGGCGCTTGCGCGCAGCGGCGTCGGCTGCGGCGGCCCCAGGCTCGGCGGCGCAGCGGGCACGGGCCGTGCCATCCCTGGCGACCGGCGAAACCAGGGTCACGTCGACGGCGACCTGCGCACCCTGATGCCCGGGGAGGCCGTTAGCGACGACCTCAAGGCGGCGCCCGTCGGTGAGGGGTGTGCCAATGTTGAGGTCCCGGAGGAAGACATTGGTGGCGACACGCGCACCGGCCTCACGACAGATCGCGGCGGCGGCGCGCTCGAGGGCGGCCGCGCGGCGCACGAGCACCCCCGCGGTGGGGCAAGCGGCGCGGTGGTCACCGAGTGGATCCAAGGCACCGCCACAGCGGCAGAGCCGCGGCGTTGGCGGCAGCGGCAAACGTAAGCGGCGCAGAAGCAGCACCCGGAACTGCTCGGCTGGCAGACGGTACTCAGGTCGCGACGGGAGCACCGTCAAGGCCGCCGCGCCGCCTGCGCCGCCTTGGGACAGAAGCAGGGCCCGAGATGCAGGATCGAGCACAGAGAAGTGCACCTCAAGGGCTTGTCTGTCCAAGGCGGCGGTGGCGGCGCGCTGCCAACCGCGGGTGGGGTCGCCGAAACTAGCGCCGGCTCCGGAATCCAGGCCACTCGCGAGCGCGACCCATGATGGCGGCGCCCATCCAGGGGTGTGCAGCGCGGCCGCGGCCAGGCGGGCGGCTTGCGTGCCGGGCAGGCCCGGTGCCCCAAGCTCGGCGGCCAACTCGGGGAGGACCCGCGCGAGGAGGAGGGGGTGCCGCGCGCCGATCACGGGGAGCGAGTCGGCCCAAGAGGCCCAGTGCGCGGCGCTGCGCGTCGCCAGGGCGGAGCGCAGCCCCAGCCCCCCCATATGCAGGGGGAGCTGGGCATCGGGTGGCTGAGCCCAATTGCCAGCCCAGGCAGTGGGCCGGGCGTCAGGAGGCAGCGCATCCAAGAGCGCGGTGGGCTCTTCACCGGCGGCGTTCCAGGCCCGGGTTTTGCCCAAGTGCACATGCACGTTGGCGCGGTCGCGTAAGGCGGCCCGGAGCGCGCCGAATACGGCGCCCACCCGATCGGGGGCGCAAGTAGCGTACACATCGTCCAAGTAGGCGTAGAGGTGTTCCCCGGGCTGCAGGGCAGAGTGGGCCTCGAGGAGGGCGGCGTGCTGGCCCACGGCGTAGAGGGCGGGCATCAAAGGGTCCCCCTGCTCGCCCCCCTCTCCCTGCCAGACATCGTGGGGCGCACCGTGCTCGTCGTAGAAGGTATAGCGGCTAGGGGCGCCGTAGAACTGGGACACGAAGGGGCGGAGGGGCGTGACCCGGGCATCCCGCAAGCCGAGGAACATGCTAGCACGCGAGATGTGGTCGTAGGCCCCAACCCCATCGATGCTCAGGACCGTGGTGCGGGGGTCCAACTCAGTGGCCAGCCGGACGGCGCGGGCGAGGGACTCCGTGCCCGCGCGCGCGGCCAGGGCATACTGGAAAGGCGCGCACACCTCCGCGAACCGGCCGGCAAACTGCTGGGCCAGCGTTTTGGCCACCAACCGGCGAAATGCGTCCCCCATAACAAGACCGCGGACGCCGCCCGCCGGCTTTTGGAGGGCGACCAAGCGCCCCAGGCGCAGGGCCGCGAGGGCCTCGGGGGGCACCTCGGCCCGGGCCAAGCGGTCGGCGGCAAAGCACAGCAGGTCGAGAGACTCCGCGTCGTCCAGCAGGACGCGGAGGTGCTCTGGCGTGCAGCCAGAAAGGCCCGGGGCAGCACCGCGGCGACCGCGGCGGAGGTTGGCAAGGAGCCGAGCGTGGTCGACACCAAAGCCCGCCGTCTCGCGTCCGAGCGCGGGCGGGGCCGGCAGCGGGACCTGAGGGCTGGGTGGCCGCCGGGCAGGGTCGCGGAGCTCAGCAAGGGTCGCTGCAGTGGCCGGCGCGAGGGCTGGAGCGGTGAGCGCGGCGGCCGCGGCGGACAGTTCACCCATGTGGGCCAGGGCAGCAGCCCGCGCAGCCCGCCTCTCCAGGCAGTCACCTCGTGGTGCAGGGCTGGCCACGGGGGCCAAGGCGGCAGCGGCGGCAGCCTGGTCTAGGAGGTCGGCGTAGGCACCGCGCGCGAGGAGTGCTGCCCGTTCCTCCAAGGCGTCGCGGGCGACGCGGGTCTCGCCACGACGACGGAAGAGCAGCATGCGGGGCGCGAGGAGGAACAGGCCCCAGCCGGCCGGGGAGTCAGGGTCGTCCCGTATTCGGGCGAGCCCTGCATGCAGCGCGGCGCGAAGCGCCCCTCGAAGGAAAGGCGGGGGCGCTTGCAAGGTGTAAACGCGCCGCTGGAACTCATCCGCGAGGTCGCGTGTCGCCCAAAGGGCGTCAGCGCGCGAGTCGGGGCGTGGGGGTGGAGGACTGGTGCGCGGAGCGCGGGCCCGAGGGCGGCGGGCGCGGCGCCGGGGGGCCGCGGCGGCGGCGACCTCGCTGAGAACATCCGCCTCAGGGGCAGGGGCCGCTCCACGGTCCGTGGGAGGCACCGGGGCGGGAGGCGCGCAAAGGTGGCGCGCGCCCTCGGCGATCTCGGACGCCAGGCGGTCACCGCCATAGACGCACAACAGTGCCTCTTGAACCGCAGGGGCCAAGTAGCCATCCGCCCGGGCGAGGGCTTCGACCGCGAACGCGAGGGTGCAAAGGGAGTCGCCCTGGAGGCCGCGAAATGGCCGCTCCGGCCACACGAACGGCCGGCCCTCAGCAGCACTGTGCACAAGGACCGCCGCGTGGAGGCTAGTCAAGGGTTGGGGGCAGGCAGCGCGGAGGGCGCCCACCCACTGTCCCCATACCGGACCGAAGGCGGCATGCGCGCGCCAGGCGGCCTGCGCTGCGTCGGAAGACGCCCCGGCCGCATCGTGCAGCAAAGGCACGTAGACCCAGGAGCGAGGAGCAGTCTGGAGTGGGAGAGCGTCTGGCGGCCCCTGTGTCACCCAGAGGGCAGGCCGGCAGTGATCCGGCCCGCCACGCGGGGTGTGGAAGTCAGGGGACTCGGGTCGCCGGGACGGTGGCGCTGGGTGGGGGACCAAGCCCGCTCGGCGGAGTTCGGACAAGGCGCGCTCGCGTCGCTCGGTGGCAGGCGCCGGGGGGCCGGGGTGGGAAGCTTCTCCTACTCGGACGCCCGCCCATGCATTCGTGGGGCGCGTAACGGCGGTCGGCGCGCCTACGCAAAAACGAGTCCGGGCTGTCCAAGCTGGAAGGCGCTCTTTTTGACGCCCCCGCGGCGGTGCAAAAAAACGGGCGGGGCTGGCTGGCTCAGCATCAGCGGCCGCGGCCTGTCCGCAGCGCGGCAGCCGCGGCGGCGGCGGCAGCAGCTTGCGCCGCCCGCAGCACCACATCGTCAGCCGCGGCAGCAGGTGGTGGCCCCCGGCCGACGGCCGTGGCCAGGTCCTTTCCCTTTGCCCTTGCCCTTGCGGTTCTGATGCCCGCCCGGTCGCGCGGGCGGGCTCTGGCTGCGCCGCGGCGACCGGGTGCGGCTGCGGCTGCGGGGGCTCGGCGGCGGGCCGCGCGCCAAGGCTTCGATGGCGTCGGCGACGCCCTCCAGCAGGCCAGCGACCGGGCGGGCAGTCCAGGCGGGCAGCGCCGCGGAGACCACCAGGCTTTGCAGCCGCCGCACCTCATCGCACAGGACGCAAGGGCCGCCCTCGCCAAGGGCGGGCCGCGTCTTGCAGCAGGGGCAGGTGGTGAGCTGCAGGAATTAGACCTTTCAGTCCCTGCACGTAGGGGTGCACTGATTCCAGACCCCAAGTTGAGGGCATACTACTCCTTCATCCGGCTTGTTTGGTCCCCTTACCAAGCCTACCGGAGAACTGGTGCGCTTTCGTATCCTTCGTCCTGCTCTACCACTCGGTTTGCCTGAGGCATCTCCGGACACCTGAATTCTGCAACCATGCTTTTGGATAAGGGATGGGCGTTTGGCAAAACAATTTGGGTTGTTAGCTTGGGTCTGTTTAAAGCTTTCGATCGTGTGCATTGGCCCGCCTTATGGACAGCACTGGAAACACAAGGCGTTTCTCAACATTTGGTTTGGCTATTGCACAACCTTGACGAAAATCAAACTGGGGAAGTGAAAACCGAGTGGCCGGAGCCTCGCACTTTCCATTTCAGCAGGTGTGCGACAAGGGTGTGTCTTAAGCCCGCGTTTGTTCAGTGCAGTCAGAAGGAATGGAAAGCTGGCATTGTGCTGTGGGTGGGCATGGGTTTGATTCAGGCGATGGCATGGAGCGCTTGTTGGATGTAAGGTTTGCAGATGAAATTTTGTTGTTCGCCGCGTCAGCGAGTGAGACCGAATTGATTTTGGAAGAACTGATCGAGGCGCTGGCCGGGGTTGGTTTGGTATTGAATCCTGACTTGAGAGGAGGGAGACACGAAAGGTAGGACAGCGGGAAGAGAAGAAAACGCGAGTGGCATACTTCGAGCCACAGCAGCGGTCTCCAAGCCCGCATCGTTTTTGGTGTGTGATCTCGGTCTCCATGCCTGTATTTCGTTTTGGTGTGTGGAAACCCATCTCGTTCTCGAGAGGTCTTCCTACCTCGTTTCACAAACTAAACATGTCATTAACCAAACCATTGCAAACAAATGGCGCATTTGATGCCCATCTCGTTTTCGGGGTGTTCCTACCTCGTTTCGCCAACTAACTCTGACATTGGGCTATAGAAAAAGGAACGCCCCTAGACCAATCACCACTACCGCAAATAGAAGCCGTTGCTCATATGCTCTCGAAATGTTCAGAAAGGTTCTTAGGGAAACAACCTCGCCCCATGGCTCAGATCATCGGTGAGCATAAAATCGGAGCATCATAGGGTTTAAACTATTCTGAACCCAGAAGAGACTCACGAAGACGTTCCCCAAAAGAGAATAGACGTGGTTCACAAAACAAACTCTAGGTATGTATCCCTTCGGGGAACACCTGTCGTGATTAGAATTTCATATGCACTCTGTCTGAATGTTCAAGAGGGTTTCAACTATCCTGAAATCATGAGAGGCTCACGAAGACGTTCTCCAGCGGAGAATTGAATTTAGAGGGGGGGGG